CCCCAAAACCCCAAAACCCCAAAACCCCAAAACCCCGTCTGTTGAATGTCCAGTTGAGAAATCTAAAAACAATTAAATTTTTTAATGGAAGGGAGTCCTAAAATACTTATCACTGGAATCACGGGGTTTAAAGGTTCCTGGATAGCCAAAAAGTTCCTTAGCTTCAGAGATTTCATGCTTGAGGGCAAACACGAGACATTTGAGATTAGAGGCCTCGTTAGGAATCTCAAGGATCCTTCCACAATTGCTCAACTAAGGAACACACTTGCAAAATTTGATGGAAATTCTGAGAAATTTCCTTGGACGATAAAAAATAAGAAATCAACTTTGGAGTTTGTTGAGGGAGATTTGTTCAATCCAGACAGCCTCAAAGAGGCTGTCAAAGATTGTGATTATGTCTTCCATGCTGCTTGCCCAGCTATTGATGAAGGTAAGTTTATATATTCAGCTTTTGTCTCAGTGAATTTACCGAACAAATTTAGATGATGAAGCCAAGAGTTTGCTAGAAGCAATGGAGGCTAATTTAAACATCATCAAAGCATGTGCTTACACCAAAGTTAAAAAGCTAATAATAGTGTCGTCCTATATCACTATTGCAAGGTATGATAAGTTTTATTGATCACTTGATGAGAAATCCTCTCCAAAAAACTCAAAGGGAATGAACCTTTATGAAAAGTGCAGGTTTCAGGCTGAGAGATGGGCCTTTAATTATCTCTCCCACCTAGATGCAAAAGATCGTCAGTTTTCTGTGTCTTTTCTTAACCCTGGTATTCTTTTTGGGCCTCTACTGGTCCCTAGACAGGACCACTCAGCAGTGAAATTTGTGAAAAGAATAATGATGAATGATTTAGAAGATGACTGGCACCCTATATACTATCCCCATTGTGATATTAGAGACCTGGCAGATGCTTGTATCTCATGTATTTACTATTCTGAAGATCTTCAAAGATATGCCTTGACTAGCGACACCCACAAGTTAAGCGAATATGCTCGGTGCATTTCAGAAGAGTTTAATATTCAAGATTTTGAAATCAATATTTATGAGTCATGCAAGTGCTTTGTTTGGGCAGGAAGCTGGTTCAATGTAGAATACTCAAATGCCTTATATAGATGGAATAAAAAGGTGCACATAAAGAGCACTAAAGCACAAACTGAGCTTGAAATGGACTTTCTAGATTTAAAAACAAGTATAATTGACATGTGTTATTCACTAATAAACAATGGGATGGTCACTACAAATGATCTTCCCACCAAATTACTGATTGAATAATCGTATACATCATTTCTTCTCTTTAATTTTCCTTGCTCATCTTGATGCTTGTATTTGTGGCCTAGTTCGGACATCGCTTTATCATCTAATATTTATCCCCTCTTTGTCCGCAATTCTAATCCACCATTTTTTCAGTTAGGCTTAGATTGACCATTTTCAATCAAGAATACTCAAAATGGGGTTTTGGGGTTTTGGGGTTTTGGGGTTTTGGGG